GTGTGTGTGTGTGTGTGTGTGTGTGTGTGTGTGTGTGTGTGTGTGTGTGTGTTTACTTGAGTGTGTTTGCACTATTTTCAAGCTGTTTTCTCTTTCAACTGTGGGTTCTAGGGTTACAATCAGGCATTCCTGGCAAGTGCCATTACTAACTGATCTGTCGTAACAACGCTGGCTTTTTTCACTTCCTTGGTTTCCTTTATACCTTGCATATGTCATGCTATCAGCAATTCTGTCCATCTCTCGTTATCTTAAAATATTTATTTATGTTTCTGCTGTTAAGTCCTTCCTGGCTCTCTGTCTCCTATTCCTGAAATGTAGATCTCGTTGGCTCCCTCTGGGTGTACCCAGTCTTTCCTCAGTCAGCTAGGGCTAGGAAAGAGTTTTTCAAGTTACAAGTTGCTGGCCTCAGTGAGTGGGTACCGTGTAGCTCATGTAGGTACATGAGTCTGTGCTCTGATAGGAAATACAGGAACGAGAATGGAAAAGTATAATCTCAGAGCCACACCTTTCAGAGGTGTTTCTGTGCTCTGAACCTGGGCTCCCACTATGGTAAGGAAATTTACAGCCTTCTCCTAACACCTCTCAGAGAGGCATCACTGGAATAGCTGGGTCTTGCTGTGTGGGCTCCTGCAGACTGAATTGGGTAATGCCAGAGCAAAGCACTCTGGAGGTGGTGGTATTCCTGAATTTTTGGAAACTCCCAAGATTAATATTCTTACTCTTGGACTAGCGAGAGTTAATCTGCCATCAAATTCCTCTGTGATATGACATCCACCTACAACCCTGCAAAAGGGCCATGTATTTCCCTTGTCCAGAGATCTGCTTCTGTCCTCTGTGTTCAACAAGAGTGACAGAGGCCTGGCATTAAGTCACATATCAGTATGACCTTCACGGAGTGGACACATTGGGGAAAGTGTGTCTCAAGAGGCTCTGTGGCCTCTTTGCCACTCTTCTAGGATGGCAGGCAAGAAAGTGTCAGTTTTCCTGACTGAGAAGCAGAAGCTGTGCTGTAATTTTCATTTTGCTTGTAGCCCTCAATTTGAAATCTGTTGGCTGGCTACCTGGGAGAAATTTAAACAAGCTAAAAAGTGTTTAAAGAAAACAACCCCACAGAGTGTTTTTCTTACTTAAACAGGTATATAGTTGGGAAAGAGTCAATTCTAACTGCCACAGAGGAGGAAATGAGATAAGTCTGCCTACCTCACAGGGGGTAAAGTTAATTGAACACTGATATTTATTTCCAGGTGTTATTTTTGGCTACTGGCTTGCTCTCTGCCCCATTATTAGGAATCAGTTTTGTTATAAACTGTTGATACTGGTGTATATTTTACTGAGGATCAGCTTTCCTCTTACTAAATAAAATGTAGCATATCTCTGTTCAAGTGTTTATATAGTATGATCTGTCTGCTACCCTAAATGTATTTCTGTTGGACTTAATGTATGTGAGATTTTTTTTTTCTAGAACTTTAATTGAGTGTTGAAATTTTCCTTAAAGCTGTTCCTATGGAGGTTTGTGTTTAGTTTGAGCTGTTGAAATTCCTTTTTTGTGATAGTATCTATTTAATATTCTGAGTGCTCAGAAATGGTCAAATGGGAACCCAGTTTGCAGTTTTTGGTAGTAACGGGTATTTACATTATTGTTTATCCGTTAACAACTTTGGTTATTTTTTATTTTCTTGTTTTATGTTCTAGTTCATGGGGAGATTTCCTTTTGGATTCCATTTCGGGGCTTGTGTTTGACACTGCAAAGGAAGATGTGGCATTAAGGGCTGGAATGCCTCTGCGGATGCTCATGGTGAGAACAGAAGCAGATAGAAACAGGTTGCAAGTCAGGGATCAGGCAGGCGAAGTCCTGCCCCTTCGAGACCCAAGATCTTCTTCCCAGATGAGGCAAGCTAACTTGCCCTGCTGGCCTGCTGAGTGGCAGGACTTAGACAGCAATGGAGTATGGCTTCATGTGGTACCATTCATCTGGGGCCATCTTTGAATGTTGTTCAAAAATGTTTTGTGTATTCTCATAGCAGCAGCAAGACTGGGAATATTGAATAGATAGTTGAACAAATAAACATGACCACAAGTCTATACCAAGCACACATCAGCATTGGGTGCCCAGTTGGAGAGGAGGCACCTGGGGGTGTGTTCCTTGGCTTTCCTGACCTCTCCTGCATTTGGGGCAGGAGTACTTTGGCTAGCTTCCAGACAGTATGTTGATTGGGGCTGAGTAGGACAAAGGTTGCATTCATTACCTAAGGCACTCAGTTGTCTTAAGAGAGTGACTTGCTTTCCAAAGACAGAACCTATACTATACTATATCTCCAAAGATCCCCTTTTCCAAGCTAAATTTTAAATATTACTGTAGTTATTGTTTTTATTTATATTTTCACAAATGATAGACAGTGTAAGATAAATGTTGCCGATAAGGAAGTAATAGGCTTCCTTCTCTTAAGGTGCAGCCTGTTCCTCCCCACCATGGAATGGCACGATTTATGTCAGTCGGTGTTAGACTACAGTGTTGGGATTAAGCTCAGCATACTACAGTGAAAAGTATGACCTGTGTAGTTACCTCTAACAGCATCCAGTAAAGGTTCACTTCTTTGCTTCTAGCAGGTGGAAACCCCAGCCTTTGCAACAAGAAAGTTGAGTGGTTTTCTGAGGACTCTTGCAGACAGGCTAGAAGGTAGAAAAGAACTGCTGTCATCAGACATGAAGAAGGATTTCATCATGCACAGGCTCCCCCCTTACTATGTGGGAAATGGAACAGAGATGCTGGAACCAGGTGGAGCTTGCTCTTTCTCTCTGGGGTTGTGGGGGACACTTCATGCTTTACTGGCTGGTCTCCACTTTGAACACATGAAACATTTTAGGCTTCATACGGACAGCAATCTCTCCTTACTGTATGTGGTTTCACAGTCATGCTGCCCTCATTAACCTCCCAAGTGATTTGCAAGAACTTACTTTGCAGTATGACAGGAAAAGTAAGAACTAATTTTGGTTGAGGAATGTATCTGTAAGTAGTCTTTTATTTATCATCTTCAGAAATGTTGAAGAACTTGAATATTGACATAATCTTGTTAGAATTAATGTAAGCATGTTAAAATGCTGTCACACCAGATAAAATAAAAGAATGGTCGAAGATAAAATGGATCTCCCAAGTTGTAGGTGCCTAGTATTCAACTGGTATATAATGCACTGCCAGATAGGTGCCGTCAGTGTCCTTTATTTAGGAAAAGCTACCAAGAACACTCTCAAATTCAAAGTTGTATAATTTGACTTGTTGCAGTGTAAGGGTGCACATTGAGAGCTGTGGAGCATCTCCATCAAAAGGCAGTAGGCTTAAGCTAGGACATTTCAGAGTTTCCAGAGGACTCATGGAAGCAAAGCAAATTGGTATGGATTGGGTGCTATCCAGAAGTAGATGGGTGTCTTAGATATTCCCAGTGAGTTGGAAAAACTGAGGCTTAATTTACCTCAGATAAACAGCACTTTCAGGAAACAGGGTAGAGGAGTGTTGGGTCACTAACAACTTTAGCAGTGTTTGTTTTTTGCCTGAGTTGAGACATTTATCTTAACAATGACTTGTTAAACAGTGTTCAAGAGAATGCTGAAACCTACTGCTAACTGGGCCAGCTCTTTGTCTCAGCGACAGCAAGAATCTTTTTCCTGTCATAAAAGTCTCACCTGTTACCAGGTGACAACCACTAAAATACATAAAGTCCCTACTTAAATGCATTTTTATTATACAGGCTGAAGGAAGTTCAGAATTTAATGTTGATCGTATCTATTCAAAATGGCATATTTTACCAGTAATGCTCTAGAATAGAATTTGCTAAATAAATCCCTGAATATGTTCCAGAATATTTTTCTAATAGTTTCCCAAGTAACTACTATAGTCAGTAAGGTTATGATTCCTTAGTATTTTCCCATCCAGATAGCCCTATAAGGCCAGCTTGTTTCTTGTGGTGGCTCTGTTCATTTTGCTAAATCCACCGTAGAAAGAATAGACTTTTTCTGTGGTGGGTCTTAAAGGACATAATGCTTCACTTACACAGACTACGTTTACACCATTGTCATACAGCTCATTCTTTCCAGAGTCCAGGTGTAGTAGGGAGGTGAGCATTCATGCAGAAAGCAACACAGTTCTATGCACTGTGCTTTGATGGGATTACTTATACCTAATGTGCTCTTTGTGTGTGGTGTTGGGAGGTGAATATAGGACCTTGTGTATGCTAGATAAGCACACTCCCACCAGCCGCACACCTAGCCTTCTAATTTATTGTTAACTTGGTTTATTATTTACCTAATGATATGTATCACTAGAAGAATGAGATCCATGGAGGTGCTAGCTATACTTTTAATTATCACAATAGATGTTGGAGTGAGTACTCGGGAGAGTGTAAGCTATAAGATGCCTCACAAACAAGTTTGAACCTATCTGTTGGTATCTTTTTTGATAGCTTTCTCTATTCTAGGTAAAAAATTGCCAAGGTTGGACAGCATAGTAAGACTGCAGTTTAAAGACCACATTGTCCTTACAGTAGGGCCAGAGGAGAATCAATCTGTGAGTATCCAGAGGGATGAGAGTTGTTCTATGAATACTATTTCTGTGAGTTTTGGGTTACTCCATTTAGGTCATGTCTGTCTCACAGTACCTGTTGCAAGTTGCCCTGCCTGTTGGGTGTGCAAGGGCTTCATCCCCAGAATCCTAGTCTTTCTCATGTGAATGTGTCCATTCTTTGCTTCCTAATCTACTTCAGGGTACACTGCTCTTGCATGAACAACTGAAGATCTTGTTTGAGTTTCCCTGCCTTAGTCACTATCATCTCTATACTGTAGAAATCTGGCTTAAATTCAATACTATAGACCATAGAGTACAAGATCTTTGCCCTATAATTTGGCCTTTTTATTCACTGGTTCCCCAAACTGGCTGATAGGACAGTTTTCTAAAATTGTAAATTTCTGTAGCTAAAGAGATGGTACAGTAGTTAAGAGCACTTGCTCCTCTCCAGAGGAGCCAGGTTCGATTTTCAGCACCCACATGGCAATTCACAACTGTCTGTAACTCCAGTTCCAGGGCATCTGATATCCTCTTCTGTTCTCTATAGTTTCCAGACATGTAGGTGGTATGCAGGCATACATGCAGGCAAAACACCCATAAACATAAAAAATTGTTTGTTTTTGAGTTTTCTATGGTTTGAAATGGATCTTCTCCATTTATGATTTTTTTAGAGCCTGGAACACAATGTCAGATCTATGAGAACTACTCATACCTTGTAGCTTTATCTAGTAATTCCTAAGCATTGAGGGAGTCACAAAAGTAACGCCTAGCCATCAGGGAGCTTGGCTAAGGATGACATAAATAAAACCACTAAAGTATGCACTCATACCTTGTTTTTTATTCTGATAACTACTAACTCTGAGACACTGTATGTTGTTGGCTCAGATGTTTAGCTAATCAGTGACAAATAATAAAGGTAGGTGTGGAAGACCAAAGGGAGTACAGATCATTTGTGACAAACTACTGAAATTTAAACGGAATTTTTAGTAAATAACATAGCTTCTATTTCTCAACAATTGATCACTTGATAACTTTTTACTTGTTCCTAGGAATATCAAACTTGATAGAACACAGTACAGGTAATTCAGGATGAAACTCTGATAAGCTGGCATATAAATCAGGTTCTTGTACATGCTGGCTTATCTGTTAAAACAGTGACTTCAAGAATCAACAGTTGTATTGGTAACTTTGTGCCCAGAGGATTCTGCACAGAAATGAATACATTTCCTTTAAGGAGAAAGGCTATAATATTTTTATTGGGGCCAGGTATGATGCTGTATGCCTTCATCCCAGGCAGTTTTCTATGAAGTCAAGGCTAGCCTGGCCTACAAAGTGAGGACCCTGCTATCTCTATATCCCCCAAAAGATTTTCCTTGATGTTGAAATTTTTTTAACTCTCCTAGCACTGAAACCCTCAATATTTTTCTTATAAAAATATTTTTTATAGGATGAAGCTCAACAAAAAATGGTTTATATCTATCATTCTCTGAAGAATCTGAGACAGACACACATGATGGGAAAAGAGGTGGAAACAGAGGTGTGTTCCAACTTAAAACAGCTGTCTTTCCTGTGGTTTGGGTTATGGCTGGGATAAACACTTGTGATGGAAAGGGTCGTGTGCCTTTATAGATGCAGTGCGGACCTGCCATTTTACCTGACTGATAGGACAAGCTACGTCAGCCAACTTTGTGAAGCATGTATTGATGGCAGCTTTAAAACACAACAGCTGTAAACTTACAGGAAATGTGTGATAAATGCTAGTCATTCTGCAACAACTTAGCTACTCAAAGTAGGTTGTTGATAGGAAATTGATGACTTTTGTGAATTATCTAATTACAGTTGAAGTAGTTTTCCTGAAACAAGTTTCACTCTTGTGAAGGATATATATTTTGAATTATGTAACGTTATGCAAAATCCATGAAGTGGTGTTATTTCTGTACTAAACAGTGTATTCCTCTTCAGGCTTATGGACTTCGCTTTCCTTTATCACATGTGGATGCTCTGAAGCAAATCTGGAGTGGATCACCCATTCCTGTCAAGGAACTGAAACTTCACACAGATGAAGAAAAGGAGAACCTGGCACTGTCTCTCTGGACAGAGTGTTTAATCCAAGTGGTCTAGGGCCTGCCTTTATACAGAGAGTGTCCTTTTTTCTCTGCGCATACACTCCGTGAAGGGAGATTTCATTTCTAGGTGACTCATGGTGCTCTGATTAGCACTCTGGGTGGAGGCATGGTTAATGTGCTCATGGACAGGAGAGGGAACTCAGGAAATTACCAGGTATCCCAGACTGTGATAAAATCATACTTCTGACAAGTTTATTTAATCCAGTGTTGTAGAAAAGGCACAACTCCATTACATGTGTCATATAGAACTATGTCATTAGCCTGGCTCTGTCATGGTTCTTTGGAAGAAACAACTCCGTTAAAGAGCCTCCTTAGCTCCAAAAATACTTTTTAACAAAACTCAAAAGTTGGTTTTTTGTTTTTTTTTTGTTTTGTTTTTTTACAACGAAAATATACATATCTTTGAGTATACATGCCCATTTTCCCCATTAAAATAAACGTTTCATGAAATAATACTGCCACACCCATAAGAGGCACCGGTCATCTGTGGACATGCAGAGCTCTCAAATGTTGTTTAGATGATGACAGAAGCGCCAGAGACTGAAAAAAAAAAAAAAAAAAAAAAAAACCAAACCAAAGACCAGTATATATACATGGGAAGCCCAAGTGTACAAAAAAATACTCAAAGTAGGTAGGTAGCTCTTTGAGTTTAAAATATTCACTGCTATTTTACATTCTAAAGTGCATAGAGGTTGATACTTTTAAAAATATTGCTGGAGAATTTATGTAAAAATAGTTTTTTTTTTTTCTTTCTGGCAAAAATTGGGGCTGAAAGCAGTAGCTGTCTGAATTAAGTTTCCTGTCTCAGGAGGGTGCAGGCTCTTGACCTGTTCCTGAGCAGGAGATAGTAGTGCCTCTCTGTGTGGTTTTGCTTAGCTGTAGTCAGTTTAAAATGGGAGTGAAACTGAGTTGTCTGTCACCAAGTAGAAAAAGTCAGGTGACAGGCAAAGTAGAAGCCCTGTTTGTTTTAGCTGAACCTTGGTTCAGTCCTTTACTCCAGGGACACATTCAGCTCTTAGATGTGACTCAGTCTTGCTATTCTCCTCCTTAAGCACAAGTCAGACAAAATGTAAGGTCACCACAATCAGAAGTATTGTCACTTCAGGACATCTTGGTTAATTAACACCATGCTGCTGGGTAGGCACCCTAAAGTTTATTCATTTGTAGTTAGAAAAATGATACAGATTGGCCACACCACAGAAAGTACTTTAGGACTAGTGGCTTTTGCCTCAATAAGCTGAGGTTCCTCCCTGGGGTCAGCTAATTAAAGAGTATAAATACTTATGGGTGTTTCAATTTTAAAAGTTTCTAAAATAGAAACTACAAGGTTTATTTAGTACAGCAGCAGCTTTGTAGGAAAGTTTAGTATGTCTTCAGGTGGTGCAGGAGTATGACAGCCCGTAGGAATTGTTTCCCTGTGCTTCGTTCACACAAGCATGGAGCAGGGCACTCATAGGATAGCTAATGCAGGTAACAGCATTGTCTGTGTAAAGTGCCATCAAGAAGAGGATTCGTGTTTGGCGGTTAGGAGAGAACAACATTTCAGCAAATTGGTCACCACACCTGGATCCATCAGGAAAAGAAATCATTACATTTCTTCACAAAGACACTGCATAATAACCAGTGAGAATATTTTAGCTTTTCCATGGAGCAGCAGTTTCAGCGCTTGGGAGAAAGTTCTTTCTGTGAGCAGTACAGTAATGTGGACACAGCAGCTTCCTTCCCATGCACACAGGGCATGAGTAGGTGGAGGTGCCTTTGTGTGATCCTCTCACAAGATTTCAATGTCCCATTTCTGTGTTTCTTCTCTCTCCAAGGGACGATTTATAATGACATGAGTCTTGTCATAATAGTTTCCTCCTAGAATAGAAATTTCAAAAAAGATGATTTGCTCACGTGTGATTAGCAGTTGCCCAGTTTTACAACCTTTTGTTCAACACACTGTTTAAGAATATTAATATATATATACAAAGCATTTTGAAATGGGAAACTGAGTTTGAAGAACATAGCCATTATTTACCTCAAATTGGATGCTATTGTCAACTGAAAAGCTAAAAATACGTGATTGTAGATACACAATGCCCAACAAAACAGCTTCCAGAGTAAACTCTAGCTTAGTGTCAGGTACTGGTTTTTGTTTCTATAGCAACAGTGGCTATGCCTGGCCCAATTAAAGGAACAGCCACAAATATATTGGCTCTGACCTTACAGAATTAAAGAACATGGTTAATTCCTCCTGCCATAAATTTTAACTGAGGGCTTTTAAGGATCATAGCAATTCAGTACAAAAGATGTTACAGGAAAAGAAACAGATGGCATTCTTTATTTTGTAGATTTTGGTGCTTCAAATTTAGAATTCCAACAGTTCATGAAAATTAAGTTTGCAAGTGAAGGAAAAGCTATGTAGACTTTATTGTTGGGTTTTGTTTCCTGGCTGCATGACCCTTAGAGTTCATTATTTGCTTCTTCAAACCCTTTCTGTTTGTATATGAAAATTACTTCATTTGCCTTAAAACAGTGTTCTTTACCTGGAAAGGGGTTTGGTACTTCCACTGACATTCAGAGGTAATAAGCACTGGTTATTATTATCAAAGGCCCACCTTTAACATCCAGGACAAGCTCATCACTGAGGTAAGAGCTGATGGTTCCATCTCTGTTCAGTCTCCACTTCTGCCTGAATTGCCCATGTTCAGTCCACAATGCTACCTTGGCTCCAGGTGTGTCCCGACCACCAATCACATCAAGACATGTAGCACTGGCCTACACAATGGGTAAGAAAATGACTCCACTGTATTTGCCAATATAAATAAACAAGGTACCTTTTCTTTAGGGAAAGTCACAGGCATGCAAAGGCTATATCTTAAAAATATAATTTCAGTTTTATCTTTAAAAGTCTTTATGGCTTATAATATAGCATAAACATACTAAAATATATACTCCCAAAGGAGCTAAATAACAAGGAAGACTTAGGAAGATGCTCAGTCTTCATTCAGGAGGACAAATGCGATAGATACTAGAAGCAGGACACGATGGAACAGGACAGGAGCCTACCACAGAGTGCCTCTGAAAGGCTCTACTGATCGAGGTTTCGAAGCAGAGGCTGAAACTCATAGCCAAACTTTGGGCAGAGTTCAGGCAATCTTATGAAAGAAGGGGGAGATAGACCTGGAGGGGACAGGAGCTCCAAAAGGAGACCAACAGAGCCAAAAAAAAAAAAAAAAAACGAGCCCTGCAGAGACTGATAACCCAACCAAGGACAATGCATGGAGAGAACCATAGACTCAGTGGGTTCCCTAATAAGGGGAGCAGGGACTTTCTCTGGCATGAACTCAGTGACAGGCTCTCTGATCATCTCCCCCTGAGGGGTGCAGTCTTGCCAGTCCACAGAGGAAGGCAATGCAACCAGTCCTGATGAGAACTGATAGGGTCAAATAGAAGGGGAGGAGGACTTCCCCTATCAGTAGACTAGTGGAGAGGCAGAGGGGGAGAAGAGGGAGGTACGGTGGAGTTGGGAGGGGGCAGTAGCAGGGATACAAAGTGAATAAATTGTAATAAAGAATAATAGTAAAAAATGTTTAAAAGTCTATGGCTGATGAGGAAGAATAGGGACAAAAGTGAAGTGCAAAGACATTTTTAAACGGCATTGCCTCAGGCAACAGGTCTTCAGTAAAGGTCTGCTGAACTGATGTATTAAGTCCCTATTAGCTTAGATGTATATTATGTGATGCTTGGTTTTCTATTTAAGAAAACAAAACACTGTACAAAAGATAATCATATGTAGTGAGCAGGTATTAATTTTAACCACTTTTCATTTTGATGCACAAAAAGTAAAGTTATTGGTTTTAAAATAAAAAACATGGTAGTGTTTTTCTGTATTAGTGCTCTGTTCCCCCAAGCATCAAGTATAATGGAAGAAGAGAGGGACGCTTGTATTTCATTTTTTAAGCATCGTTCATAACAGTTTCTTCTACTATGACTCCACTGTGTATTCTGAAAAGAAAGGGTTTTAATGGGTTTTGAATCTAAGGAACCCTTCTCACAAAGGCATATTGTCCAGTTTGGCTCCTAGGAAGGGAATTATTATGGTATGTGTTACCTTTGGTTCTTAAAAACTGAAACTGTACTTTACAGATTAAAAAAACAAAACAAAACCAAGTCCATTATATATATGTCAACATTTTTATGATTCTACAGCAACCTATTTCTAGGAAGCCTACGTTGTTTTTGGCATGCCAGCTGAATCTGGCAGTATTGTAGTTAACACAGAGATGACAGAAAAATCTTTACCTTGGATTTAAAGAGTCCTCGGCAGTAATGCCAGATCTGAGTGTCCTTCCCACTGTAGGGAGAGATGCATACAGACATTGTCCGAGCATCAGCTAGGTTCCCAATGACTGTCAAATACTCATCCTTGGCCCGGTTCCTTATTCTGATGTACACTGCAGGCTACGAAAAGAGAAAAAACATTTTGGGGGTGTGTGGGGGGGTGCTTAAGCTTCCAGATCGGAAAAGCAATATTTTAAAGTGAGAACTTACTAACTTTTAATAAATATGGGTTCACTTAGTTCCTTTGGCTAATATGTATATAATTTTCTGCTGACAAATCCTTGAGACCCAACCTTAAATTATGCAATGTCTGTTAAACATTCTGAAAAGTGCCCATCTGAGAGGGTAAAAGGTAGTAATAATTGCATTCACCAGAAGTCAGTGTGGCAAGGCTTGAACAGTGAAGAATTAGGTACATGGTGAGTTTCATCATGTCTCAGATATGCTGGGAAGGATGGAGAGTGTACTGCCCAATGTAAATCTTGGTGACAACAGCAAGCATGGCAATCAAGCAACTGTGTGGGGCAGTGATTAGATGGTCAACAGTTGCTAGGAAAGGTTGAAAACCCAGACAGCAAGGAAGGCCTTTATCTAAGTTGCTTCTGCATCCAAAAATCAGACTGTACTTCTTTGGAAAACATGACAGTTTTTAAAAGAAATCCGAGACCACTAAGAGTAAGAGCTAGTATTTGCCCTTAGATATATCAAGTCATGTGCTAAATGTTTTCTGTGTTGATAATTTTTTCAGAATAACCAGAACCTTTCAGAGAAAACACCCGTGGCTCCAGTTTTACTAATAAAGCTCATACAGATAAGGAGCCAGATCTCTGGCAGGATGGCTCAGAGACCCATGCAGAAACACACTGGTTATCCCTATGGCACTATTCCTGTGCACATAAAATGGGCTCTGGAAGGAGCTCTACAGGAAGCATCCTGAATCCAAGGCCTTGGATCCTGAAGATAGAATAGAAAATAACACTATCCCCTCTGGATGAGAGTTGGCATCCCAAGGAGAACTCATGGTAAGAAATGATCTACTTTGTGTACTTTCCACTGGATAAGTGCTGCCCAGCTAAGTAAAGCTTGGTATTATACGGCAAGACCCCCAATCAATGTTGTATTTTAAAACCGACAACACATCAACTTGAAGCTGTTTGCCTTTTGGTAAACTGCTACTGTGTTTAACATTTCTGAGGAAGCATTACCTAAGCACTTAAATTACCAAGTAGAAGGACAAAATGATTTGGCCATAGACACCCATGAACAAGTATTTTAAAAAATGAACTGCTTCCATATTCAGGTGTGTAACTATCCTGGTGGCACAAGGTATCATGTGGCCCTCCTTTTAGCTACTGACCCAGGAATCCCATGCTGAGAGAAAGGGAACTGCCTCTCAACAAGATGTATAGTTCTGACAACTTACCAGACTTGCAGGACAGTCTTGATCTAGACATTGAGTCTTGTGCTATCAGCAGTGCTGGGGACCAAACCTTGACAAGGGCTACTTAATTATGCATTCCCTTAGCCCTCTATTTAAACCTGTATCTCACAGCATTGCCTCCAAGATAGTCTGGGTGTGTGGAATGGGTGGTGTCAGTGGGATCCTTTATTCCTATTCCGAGTGTGGCATATTCAATAAACTTCTCTTACTATTTATTTGGTATATGGAAGACACGAAATTGAGAGTAGCTTGTTGAGGTAGCAGTACCCAGGCTTTTACTCTAAGAACTTTGGCATCAATAATTATAACTAATACGTATGTGAGTATCCACAACTCAGTGTCGTGTCCTGCAGTAACAATTATTAATTCTTGAAGCTTCAGTGAGCCTTTATAGTTGCATTACCTTGCACATATAAAAAAAAAAGTTATGACCTTCATGGATGAAAGCACTCCAATTACTTTAGGACTAAACATCACAGTTTTAATCAATTAGACCATGCAAGGTACTAAGCTAATTACCCCTTATTACCATTTGTAGTCTGACTCCTATAATTACACTTAAAAATCACTGACATGCATTATAAGTACCTTAGTGACTTCTGTATTCCCACCCTCAAGGAGGATCCTGTTTTGATTTCATTTCCTGGTTCCTTAACAAGTATAAGAACTATGGCAGTACCAAAGCTAAATGAAGTAACAAACTCAAAGACTGAGAATTCTTTTGTTGGATTTAAAAGCTGTGGCCTAATTAAGCAATGGGAAAATAATCTAAAACATTGTTTTGAAATTGAATTAAATCAGAATATCTGGTATGGACATGTAATCTCAAGAACTTGAGAGATTGAAGGTGAGTCCTTTTGCTGAAGACTCAAAAATACTTTGGTCACAGTACTCAGCAGATTTGAACTGGAATGAACCTGAAAGTCTCCTCCCAATGTCTGGCTTCCAGAGTGCCAAAGATGCCGTGCAAGCTGCCAAGGGAGGGCAATAATTAGTAGTCCCACCCAGCTGTGATGCCTGTGAACCACAACATTAACCTGTATGGCCAGATAGCCTTAAAGGTGCCACAGTGGCAACCATATCTTGGCAACAACCAATGGCTTTCTACTTGGACTAAAAGAACGTTCAATAAGAGGGAAACCATGGCTGGCATTGAAAACCTAGCTAGAACTCTAAAGGTCATGGGTCTTAAAAGAACCACCTACTACCACTATAGTAAACTGCCACAATCCTAACTGCATTCCCACATCTACCTTGCTCCCCCCTCCCCCCTGTGGCTATTTAGTTGGATTTTCCCTTCATAGACTGGGAGTGAAGAGCACCCTGTAACATCAAAGTACTGAGAACCTTCTAATGTTTTGGTGTCCTTCCGCAGAACAGCCCTGGCTTTGCCAGAACACAGTAAGAAACTTTCAGAGTAAGTGACTTTCAAAGTCACTGTGTTACCATAGTTAATATACACCCAGTGTGTGCCCATAATGCTCCTCAATATTCACAATGATGACAATAGGTTCTCTAGTGAGAAACTCGAGGCCCTAAGAAATGAAGTGACTGATCAGATGGCAAGGGATTATTTGGTTAATTATTGAACACTGTGCAAGGTTGGCATGTCCAAGCCTCACCACCTTTATCTACTAGACAGATTGCTCACTGCCTGGAGTGTCTGGTGGAGCTCAGCAAATGCTCATCTTGGTTTGAAGGAGGCCAGGTGTTTAACCTAAGTACATAAAAGATCTGGGTTCACATCTTGATTCTAAGAGTTAGGTTGCCTTTGTCAAACCACTTCAGTCTTGATTTTCCAATAAAAATCCTTACCTTAACAGACTACTGTCAGAATCCAGTGAAGCAGTGTTATAAAGAGAACACAGTCAGGTAGATAGCTCATCTGCTACCCATTACATACCTGGCCTGACTGGGAAACCTCACCCAGTTCTACATGTACCACTTCCATTCTTGGTACCATAAACTGCCTATCGCTCTTGCTACTCATGCATTGTTTTTTTATTACAGTTTTGTGGGGTGTTGGGTGCTCACCAGCATATATGTGTACATATATATGGAAACTTTGGGTATGGACCCTTGGATTTCACCTACATTTGAGTCAGGGTCTTTCACTTGTCTGGAAATTGACAACTGTTCTAGGGAACCTGGCCAGGAGACCCCCCTGCCCCACTTCCCTCTCAATGGAATTACAAATGTGCACCATCATGCCTGGCTTTTTAATGTGGGTACTGGGGATCAAATGTATCAGCCTTGAGCTCAGCATGTTTAATCCAAAACTGCAGCTCAACTAAGGGACAGATGATATCTGTCCCAGTATCTAACATATCTTAGAGGACACTAAGCATCTATCCACTCATATTCATTCTTTTATCAAAAGTGTGACAGGTATTAGAGATAGAACAATGAGTAAAATAAGCACTGCCACTTCTTAAAAGTAGTTTCCAACAGATTTTTGAAATGAGCCCAATTCACCTGGATTGATGTGCTTATAAACTACATACCCTGTCTTATAGAAAAATAATTAAGTCTTTTAAGATTTTAGTTTAGATTGGAGAGGCTGGGAGGCATCTAGGAGGACCAGGCACATTGAATTAGAAGGACAGTTACAAACCATTTGGTGAAGAATGAGAAAGAGTTCTATGAAGAGGGCATAGCCTTATTATCAGTCTGGGTGGAAAAACTCTTTGCATTTGGGTACATGTGATACAGACATGTGAGTGAGGAGATGAGGGTGAGGAAACAAGGGGGAAGCAAGGAGGAGTCAGATCCCCCAGGCTGTGATGAACACAGACTGTATCCTAACTGCAATGGGAAGCTTTGGAAGTTAAGACTGACAAGCAGTAGGTGTATGATAAATCCTATTCTAATTAAATTTCCAGGATTCAACCTGAAGATTACATAAGGGAAAAGCTCAAAATCAAAGAAACTAAAACTCATTATATTAGGGATCATCTGATGGAACTTTGGGTTCAACACTAAAATCCAATATTGGGTAAAATGTAAGATTCCTGCAAAAGAACATAACCTCCCTCCCTGGGTACAAAAGTGACCAAGTGGTCAATGTTTCCAATACCGTGTTTATGCCACTTCTGCCAGAAAATCAAGCTCTTTGGGTCTGGTCTACTTCTTACCTGCTTCATGGGGCGGATAGAACCAATTGTTTTCCACCCACTAAACACTGTCCAGTTTGGGATCTCATCAGGCACAAGGAGGATCTGCCTTCCTAAGAAATTGGATCCTTCATAAGCTATCCACCTGCAAGAATGTGTCAAAGAAAAACGTGGGACACTAAACAAATAAAAACAACATCTTACTAAAAATAACTATTATACCATTATACTTTACAGCCTGTAGGCCTGAAGATTTTAAAAATATATAATTAACACATTTTTCCTTGGTAGACATCCAGAAGACAGCCACTGCATCTGAAGTCAAGAGTTAAATGTCAGGCTCCTGTGCTTTCAAAATGAATGAGGTTCCTTCCAACTATGAAATTCTGTATTCCTTTGATATAGCAATCCTCAAAGCATTTTAACACTGATATATATGCCTCCCACCATTACTTAGAAGGGAAATATTCTTTCTTCCCTGGATTGTCACATGTGCTTAAGAGCTTCTCCAGATAGCAGAAACTTCTCTAAACATTTCTTCTTCTACAACTGTCCACAACTTCCTAAGGCCACCAAGGACTACCCACAGAAATCCCCCTTTCACTCTTTTTTCAGAGATCGCTCCTCTGCAAACTAACAGTGTTGTGTTAGTCCCTAACACTGTTGTGTTCAATCTTGGTTGTGCTAAAGTCTGAAAAAGTGCTCAGCTTGGGTGAAGACCAAGACATTACTGGTGCACAGTCATGTCCATTTCTTCCCAGTCTGGCTATGGCTGCTTTTGCCACACTAACAGTTTCCTTGGTGTGAGACACAGGTGGCCCACAAACTGAAAACACTACCTGTCCCTTGACAGAACAGCTTGCTGAACCCTGTGTTCACTAGTTGCCAAACTGTGTGACTAAACAAGAGGATTTCCAGAAGAAACAAAAAATTTCAGGGAGATTCGGGTCTCTGCAGAGCCTTTAAAAATTAAAGCATGGGAGGATAAGGCTTGCTTCAGACACAGGACTCTGGCAGTGCAGTATATGTTGCCCAACATTCAGGCTGTCTGTAACCCAGCCTGAGATGAGGTGGAGAGTAGGAAGTTTGCCCATCAGAAGGGAGACTTCCCAGAAGCACTTTCTCCCAAGGTTTGTTGTGCTATGGACCAGTGTTCCCTCAGGTTCTATGTGAAGGAACTGGTCTTCAGTATAGCTCCACTGGGATGTGGTTGAACTCTCAGGATATGGCACCTGTTGGGAGGTCCTAGAAGGGACAGTGTTAATCTGGTCCATTCCTCTTGCTTCTTGGCTTGTGTTGTTGGTTTTCACCAACTCATTCTATCTTGGTATGCTACTTACTCAGAGGCCTAAAGCAGCAATGAGGCTACTGATCTCAGTCTAGAACCTTCAGAACCATGAGATAAATCTTTTTTAAGTTTAAGTGCCTCAGGCATTTCGTTATAGTAACAAGACACTTTTGCTGCTATAGCAGTGGCTTCTATTCTTTAGTTATCCAGAAGAAAGTGCCTTTATCTTATAGAGAGCCATTGGTTAGTGTTGGAACCAACACTACCAACTGCTACATAAAATTGTGGTCAGGAGGGAAGAACTTAGGAAAGCCTGATTTATTAAGTCAGCAGAGTCCTACCCAAACTGATTACTGTGAGGAAAAGTCTACCCTTTTTTCCAAAAAAAAAAAAAAAAAAAAAAATAGGCTAGGCCAAATTATGTGCTGGACAACCTTCCCTTGACCTGTTAAAACTGCCTGTATAAAGCTAATCAGCTGTGTGCAAAGGCAGGTCAGCATGACCAGAGATACCTTGCCACCTCTCCATCTTTTTTCAAAGGAATCCCATTCCATGTTGATTTAAATGAATTTGACACATAGAAAAGGTACATGGGATCTCATTACCATCATAGATTCAAAATCCAACACTGCACAAAGAGTAAGAAATACATGTCTTGGAGTAGGTGGTTCAGCATGAAATGGTATCCTGGAAGCCTACAGTTGCCAAGGAAGGGCTTTAAACAGATCCATGGTATTCTCCAAGCTGCCCAGTAATTCTGTTGTGGAGATTTGAGAACAGTAGATAGAAGGAGGAAGAGGAGGAGGGGGAGGGATGGAGAGGGAAAAGAGGGAGGAGAAGGAAGAGGAGGAGGAGAAGGCGGCGGCTATCAAGAATAAATAGTGTCAAGGTGAAATGGCACACATTTTCTAGAAAGGAGTAAAAATAGAAAGGTGAGAACTTTAGCAGTGTGTCAATTATCAGTTTAACTTAGATATGTTAAAAAAAAAAAAGTGTGAAAATCCTATATAGGGCTTTGAAATGTAACCCAGGTGGTCTTAGCTGGAAAAGGAATATTTTGGAATTCTATACTAAAAGTAAACCAATGTGAAATATTTTTCAGAGGAAAATTTAAGTTGTTATATGTATAAATTATATAAGAACATTTGATGTAATAGTTGACTTAATTTTCAATTTATCTTCTGACATTCTTGATTTCCTTATGTATTTAAAACAGTTAATTATCCATAAGCAGTGGACTTGGGGAGGGGCATTCGTGAAGAAGAGGGAAGGATGTTGGGACTGGGAGGGGAGGAGGGAGGAGCTTATGGGGGGATACAAAATGAATAAAGTGTAATTAATAAAATAAAATAAAATTAAAAAAAAAAACTTGTAAGCACATAGGGCCTGGGTAACCTGGCTCCACCTTGACTAGACACAGAGATGAACAGAAATGCTAAAACTACTATGGACTATATGAAAATGAACACTCTTGTAGGGACTGCTTTAGACAAGCTGTCATGTCAGAGTAAAATCAAACCATCTTAGTCTTTTAAATGATCACTTGCCTTACATAGGCAATGCTTTTCACAGTCAAAGTAGATGATTTCCTGGAATTTCTCCCCAAAACAAAGTAGGCTCAAGTTAGGAGCATTACCTGGTGGAACTGCTCTATGATCCATGCTCTGATAGGGAACCAGCCCTCGTCCTCAAAGCATCCTTGTTCCAGATCACTGCATGCTATCATGAACTGGGCATGGTTTCATCCTGTCTTATTTTAACAGAAGCTACTACGGTGTAAACAGGAGCAGGAGCACTGACAGGCTGGCAACAGTGGTGGGGAAATAGCAACCCAGCCACTCTATCTCAAATCAATGACCCTCACAGCGTGTGCTCCCTCCTGTACTCACAATCCACTCTTAATCCACACGGACTGGGTATAGAAGTGTAAGTCCTTGTTCAAAACAGAATTCACAGCGTCTTCAAGATGTAACTCTCTTCCCTCACAATGTTCCAGGGCAAAAAGGCTGATGGAAGGTTCTTCAAAAACCTAACACACAGAAAGAGAAAAAGCATCATACTGGGGTTGGCACCTCTGAAAGACATCCTAGTCTCAAATACAACCCTAGGAGGAAGATAGAAGGTACTGTTAATTGAAAACATTTAGAATGTTTTGTGTAGATACAGAGACAATTTTCTCACTGAAACTAATTCATATCAGAAAACAGAAGCAATACCATTCTTTTTTATTCACGATAGCAGCTACGAGAGTTGGTGAATGAGACACCAAAACAAGGCCACATCCCTGTGTTTGAGGTATTGTTGGCTAGCAAAGAAGTTAGAAGTATAGTAATAGTATAATGCAGCATATAGTATAAAACAAATAAGCATGCCTGTGGGAGTACTCAGGTTACTTTTTAGCAGGAAGAAGAATCAATGATGATACATGGATCTGATGGCACATGTCTGAAAGGATGCAACAGGTTTAGAAGGTAGAGAAGACTGGGGAAGGTGCTTTGTGAAAAGCAGGCATGTGGAGGGTCATATGGGGGACACAAACATTCACAGGCTTTGTTAGAGGAGGAGCCGCTAAAACCCAACCAGCAAGAAAACAAGTCCCACAGGAAGGTGCTAGATGTGCTCATGGTCATCACTGTACCACATTGTCACACTGGCTGCTACCCTGACTGGGCAGGAACAGACTGACTGCTAAGGCAGAGTCAAGGACAACACTATGATGAAGCAACTTCATATAAAGGAAGCAGTACCAACGCAGCCAGAACTGTGGCTGGTCAAAGTCGTAAAACAAGGCTCTTAGCGTCTCATTTTCATATATGCTTATGTATATGCAAATGCTTATATGTGGAAGCCATGAGAAGAGAAAAAAAAAAAAGGCTTTAAAGAAGAGAGGAGGGATGGTAACAGAACACATGTGCTATGAGGGTGAAAGGGGAAACACTGGAGATGAAGAGATTGGGGGAGAGCTGAGGAGTGAATCAGAAGGGGCAAACAAAACTAAGTACCAGGAAAAATGTCACAGGGACGCCTGCTACTTTGATAGCCAATTGAAAAGTTTTTTTAAAGACATTAAACATCATAACCCAACTGGTTCACTTACAAATGACCTGCACAGTGGAGCAAAATGAGTTGTGAGTCCTCCCTTCCAGAGGTGTTTGGAATTGCAAAGGTGGGAATCATTTAAATGTGCATGGTAAGAAGGGACTGGCCCAATAAATCAGGGAATTACATAGAGAGGAATCCTAGAGAGCTGTGGAAAGGATGAAAATCTTCTTATGGAGATATCACCAGCATCAGGTCTGCAGGGTCAGGAAGAAAGAGAAGGCATAAAATAGCACACCTCACAGAATACTGGATTGTAGATAAAGGAAAACTTATACATATAAATATGTGCTTATATATGCATTAACTTTGTCTAGAAAAATGCTGCCTCTTCTGAGACAGTGTCTAAGAAAGTAAAGGGCACAAGAGGAACAAGAACTTCACTAGAAGCCTTCTGCTGATTTTTTATTTTGAACCCTGGTAATATATAGTTTATTCAAAAATTTATATCGGTAAATATTGTTTATTTATATATACAAATATATATATATATATATATGTATATAGATATGTACGTTTTTTGTGGGGTTTTTATAAATATGGCCACTAGGAAATTTATCTAGCAACAGCATGAATAAAGAAGAGAGAGATGGGAACTAACTGTGCCAATATATTAGTAGAATATTTGAGGTCCAGTAGATACATGATATGGGGAAGAAGATAATTCAGAAACAAGGCAAGGCCAGGAAAACCAGAACAGTGATAAAGTAGGTAGGCTAAGACAAACAAATGGATACACAGAGAAAGAGAAGTACAAAGATGGGGCTGTGTGTGTGTCTATATTGGTAAAGAATTTGCCTTGCAATCATAAGAAACAGAGTTTGAATCTGCAGCCAAGCCTTAAAAGCTGAGCCTGGCAGCATGCACTAGCAACCCTAGTCCTGAGAGAGTGGGACCAGAGAGCTCACAAGAGCTTGCTGTGCCTAGCCAGGTTAGCCACCTGGTATGCTGTTAGCTCACTGAGAGACCATGCCCCCCCAAAACAAGGTGGAAGGTGATAAAGGAAGGGGCCTCATGTCAGCCTCTGGCCTCTAGTACCCCCATTTGTGCATGCATACTGACACTTTAAAAGAAAAGCAAAAAGTTATGACTAGAAGCATTGGGAGTACATATTGTTATCCACAAGGAAATCCGGAGAAAAACCCTGCCCAAGAGCTAAGAACATACCATTAGCATTGAAAGTCTTCATCCTAGAATAGGGCAAGAATAAGCTAGAAAGAGATGTGGGACATACACTGTACCTAGATACAGACTACTGGGAGAGGCCCTGGTGTAGAGAGGGTACCTTTGAAAACAACCAGAAGCTGTATAATAACTGACGCATGAAAGAGGAGACTAGAAGGAGGCTATCTTGTAGTGACTGACACATGAGTAGGGGCGGGTGGGGAGTGATCACAGACTGACCAGGAGAAGAGAGCTCTTCACACTACAAGACAATGCCTGATGAGTCAGAGATGACAATGTGGCTGTCCACACAGCCAGTTTGCCAGTGAGGCTACTGATAGTGACCTGAGTGAGAACCCTTTTACTGGTGTGTCAGATGAGGAGTGACACGGTGCTGGGAGGTCTGAGGGGTACGTGTCAACAAAGTGCAGACAAGGTGGGTGTACACATTACCCTTTAGAAATAATCATGTGGCAAATGAGGGAAATGGCATAGGGGTCTATGAACTTGCTGTGGACACCACAGAAAATCACCGTCAATACAAAATGAATGATAGAAGACAAGGGATGGCTGAGAGGTAGAGTAAGACATTTAATCTGATGGTTCATATTACTTCAGAATCTCTTGCTAGGCTGGTCCATGGGTATGTGTCTCATTGAAAGGAATTTACTATACATTCTCTGAAATGCAACCTGTTCTGTCTGTGTAATGTTACTTGTACAAATATGATTTCAAGGCCAACAAATTGGTATTAGGTAACCAATTGGGAGCTCTAACCCAAGGAAGACTATCTTTGGCTGCCTGTAGTCTCACCAACATGGCTACTTGAACAAGCCCCCAAACACCAACAGACATGCTAGCATGGAAGGGGAAAATCTCATAGGTCCTTAATTCTAGACAAAGAGAATGCATACTCTCTTATATTATGTGCCCAAGGGTCTAGAAGTCAAGTCTTGCACAATTCCCACAACTTTCTGTAGCTGCACAAATAATGTATTATCTGCTCTGTCCAATATGGCTCTACTAGAGTATGTTGCCAGTGAAGACTTTGAATGTACTTCATCTGCCAGTGGACTAAACCATTTAATTACATTTAAACTTAAATAACCGTATGTGGCTAGTACATGGGCTTAGTCTGTGCTCACCTAGATACCAGAGGGCAGCAGAAAAGAAATGAGATACTTCCCAGAAGCATCAGTCTTCTCTCCATGAACACCACTTACTGGGCTATGAGGAGAAAGTCATTACTAGTCACTGAGTTTTCAGTTCTCTAGTCACTTCCCCTGATTTCTACAAACTAAAAATTAGAAGTATTTCAATAGTTGTCTGAATAAAAGTGATTAAAAATGAGGTAATCAATGACCATAGGAAACTTGTAGATTTATTGTTGAGACTTTTCAGCAGCCTTATCCTTAAGGTTTTTAAAAAGCATTTCAACTGAACCCTGTCCACATATCTATTTGGTGAGCTGTGGTTTAGGGAGAAAAGGCAGACAGGCAAGGAGCCTGGAAAGGGATGGAAATCAACCATCAGCAGCTCTTCAGAAAAGGGAGACAGACAGTGAAGGTTTGCTAGTCACATAATGAAACTTGTAACCCAGGAGGGAAAAAGAGCCTATGAGAATGTAATTTAAATTCTATGCAACACTCTTAACTAAAGCTTGCATACTGTATATGTCCCTTCTCCTGTTACAGAAGCGTGCTATGGCATTTTTGAAAAGGCTGAGTTTGAGCTCAAATTCCGTCAAAATTCTTAACATCTTAGAAATTTATTATAATAAAAACAAAAAGTTTGAGTGTACAAAAATGAGTTATTGCTCTGTTTAAAATGATGCAGGGAAACTGAGGAAAATGTATTAAACAACCAAAATACTTTTTAAATTAAATTTTAATTTTTTATATTAATCACAGGTTATTTACTTTGTATCCCAGCTGTAGCCCCCTCCCACATTCCCACCAATCCCACCCTCCCTCATCTCCTCCCATGCCCCTCTCCAAGTCCACTGATAGGGGAGGTCCTCCTCCCCTTCCATCTGACCCTAGCTTATCAGGTCTCATCAGGAGTGGTTGCATTGTCTTCTTCTGTGGCCTGGTAGTGCTGCTCCCCCCTTAGGGGGAAATAATTAAATAACAGGCCACTGAGTTCATGTCTGAGACAGTCCCTTTTTCCATTACTAGGGAACCCATTTGAAGATTGAGCTGCCGTGGCCTACATCTGAGCAGGGGTTCTAGGTTATCTCCATGAAAGGTCTTTGGTTGGAGTATCAGTCTCAAAAAAGACCCCTGTACAAAAGACTGTTTTAAAGGGTTTCTAAGAGTTTTTATAAATCAATAAAGGGTACTAAAGTGAGAAAGCAGGTTTTACTGGCAAACAGTACAGACTGGCAGCACTGACCAAGTAAGAAATGACTAACATGACTCGATACAAAATTAACTCAAAAAAGTAGCCTATAGACTCAATCTTGAAGTGGATTCCCTCAGTAAGGAGATCAGGGGCTGTCTCTAGCATGAACTCAGTGGCTGGCTCTTTGATCACCTCCCCCTGAGGTGGGGGATGTGCAACCTTGTCAGGCCCCAAAGGCAGACAATGCAGCCAGTCCTGATGACACTTGATAGATTAGGGTCAGGTAGAAGGGGAGAAGGACCTCCCCTATCAATGGACCAGGGATGGAACAGAGGGGGAGAAGAGGGAGGGAGTGGTGGGACTGGGAAGAGACAAGGGAAGGGGTTACAGCCAGGATACAAAATGAATAAATTGCAATACTAA